CCTGGCAGAAGGTTTTTTCTTTTTTTGTGTTTGAAACCGCGTTAATTATGATGAGTAAAATCTGACTTAAGTCGCTATTCTATTGTGTGTCGACAATTAAAATTAAGTGCATTTTAATAGTGCGCGCGTTTGATTGCTCACTTAGCGCGCGTTTCGCATAAATTCTATTCATGATTATTTTTGCGTTGTGTACCGATTTGTATTCGAGTAAAACGCATTGCATGCACACAGAAAATGCTAACCTTGGCTGCCATGTCAATTCGATATATGTGTGTGTGTGTGATTCGATTTCCATGTGTTCCTTTTGCATTCGACATGTATTGATTGTTCTTTTGCATCAGAAAATTTTTAATATATGTTTAACATCATTCAGCAGACGTAATAACAGCGTGTCTAATTAAATTCAATTCTAAATTATTTAACCTTGAGCCGTTGCGGTTATTATTTCGCTTTTAATTTGCTCTGCTATATAGGTCAAATTCAAGGATTAATAATCGTTATGCAATTTAATTATATACCTGTCTCGGTATATCACTGTGGTGGGTCGATTTGAAACGATTTACACTTCGCCATCGTCAGTAATATATCGATAATATTTAAATGCAATAAATGAATTTATGTGTGTTTGGGATGTGTCGTCTTCGAAATAGATATAAACGATGGCAATAAGGTGCTACTTGGCTAGGCGCACACCTTTAATGAAGTTCCCGTGTTCCTGGCGAAGGTGAAAGAGGGGATGAGCTATTTTATAGTGCAAATAAATCCTCGGGCGACCGATTACCGGCGGCCTGGGGCATGCAGATGCGACACATAATTCTTTCAGCGGGTCCATCTCGCCTGCATACGGATGGCCCTTAAATTTCCACTCCCATGCGTGTTGCCTGCCGCTTTCTGGATACGCGTTCGTATTTAGCCGGGTGGTATTAGCCAGGTTTAACAAATAGCAAGTGAACTCGAACCAAAACACTAAAACGTTGTAGGAGCTGGAACGTGCATTTGCAGCCGCAATGTTTTTTACAATGTTCTACTCGAGAATTCTGTGTACACGATGTAATATAGTGCTGCGAAACAGTAAATACGGATTTGTAAATTCCGCCGCAGATTTATTCCGCATTAACGCGACTTTATTTTAATGCACTTTTTATGAGCTAAATGCACGCGATGATCGAACAAAGGTCTATTTTTAAGTCGTTGATGTAGATGCAATAGTGGTTGCAATTGTCGTAGCAGCAATTGTAGTGGTGTTGTTACAGTTGTAGACGCAACGCAATTTTTTCGTCCATCGGTAGAAAACTGTAGTTATGATTCGTTTAATTAAACATTTAACCTAATATGTACCAATTGAAGTCGGGACATCTATTTTGATAGTTGTAAAGTAATTAATTAGTGTCCGCTTAGTTAGAATAACGTCGGACGGATGGGAGACTCGCATGGGTCGAATTAGTAGCTGGGCCACGAATAAGTTTGCCACTTAAACTACTTAAAATCCAATTGTTTGTTTAATCCTGCAAGCGTTTAAGCTATTCAATTCTAAAACAATTATATACTTTCAGTTTAGGACTTAATTATGACATCGTTAATGTAAAAACAAAACTTTTTAATGCACCGATTCCATCCTACTATGAGTATGAGTGTAAAGTCGGTAAATGTAAATTCAAGGTACATTGACTGCCAACGTCGGTAAGTGTAAGTTGAAAATGATTTAGGCTTACATTTATCGAGGAATCTGTACACCACCCAGAGTGTTTTGGTAAATGTAGGTTGAAGACAAGCAATGGTAAAAATAAAAGTTAAACTTTTTGACGAAAATTTTAAAAACACCAGTCGACAGCTAATCGCAATACTTTAAAAATATTTAAATTCAATTATTATCACTATATGCGGATACACGCACATATATGATTCATGTAGAAGCGGTTTCAATGATGTGAACTTGAAATGTTGTACCTAACTTACTTATTTATAAATAAAAAAAACTAGCTTGCAGCTACATCTATTAATGTGTTCAACTAACGAAAGGTGGATGTATGGAACACGTGTGTATACTTAAGCCAAGTCATTAGTTGTGTCAGCGTTTAGTATGATTGTGTGTATGTGTGTTGGCGGCGTGTGTGTAGATGGACTTACTGCGCCGGATAAGGTCAGCGGCGAATATTGCTTTATGGTGGTAATAATAATAATAATAATACGATCTGTTTCGTGTTATGTCACACGCAATTATTAGTTATATTGCGCGCACTTAACTGTCGTGCGGTCGCGCTTTCTGTTTTATTTCATGCATATGGATATTAACGCTAATAGCTGCACAACTTTGTATGTTTTAATGTGCTACATATACGACAGTAAAGTCTCCTGTAATGGAAAAACATTAAAAAAAACGATTACAAACTGTTGCATATATGTAGTATCCTTAAATATATATTATGTTTGTCGTAAAGTTAAATTATATTAACTTACAGTGAAAAAAGTTATTGATTATTAATAGTATAATCATTTTATTGCACTGAATAGTTTTGCGGTAGCAGCGAACAAGAATGATTACGAAATCGAAATACATATCAAGATCACAGTGCAACACGGACGAACGAGCATATTAAGCGCGTGGTAATGCAATCGTGCATAAATCACGACTGTATTAATTATAAAATTATTATTATCTCGTGTTTATTTATACAAGCCGGTGATGTCGCAATTATAATGCAAACTGCACGCCGAGGTTAAACTTCTTTAGCTTCACGTGTCTTGCAACTCGTTGTTATACACTCATATTTTTCTTTCTTTATAGGAACTGACAACTTAGTTGCTGTTTTGGTGCTATCAATATATAAAATTTCAATTAATTGAATAACATTAAAAATAATACCAATAATTTTAAAAATATATTGTCATTTTTAACTACCTTAGTTCTTCCAGTTTTACAAAATTACAAAGAAACTATAAAAAGAAACTAAAACGATGTTTACATTAAAAAAGTACTTCAATTTCAAAAATCATGCGCCTTTCCAGCAAGAGAAAATATCATAAAATATGGAATAAACGAGTAAATTAAAAACTAAACTATATTATAACTTTTCCATGCATAAAAACTAAGTTGCGATGTATATGAAGCCAATGAAATGGTGTGTTTAACTTATTATATTACTGATTATATGTAAAACTTTTTATTATTTACTAACTTTTGTCAGCGACTTCGTCCGGGTTTAATAAAAATGTAATTCGTTTTTACTCTCTTGTTCTTGACATAGTCTGTGTCAATTCTATCAATAAGATTAGCAATTTTACTTTAAAAAAATTAATTATATAAAGAATTGCTAATAATGCACTTCACCGCGCCATCTCGGATTCAACTATTTAACTATAACTATGATTGAATCTCAATGCCAAATTTTATCCTATATAAAAGGACTGTTTTTAGGGTTTTCCCGGCAATTATAGGAATTTTTCTTGCCGTAAAAACCATCCTTGGACTTTAACAAACTTAAAAAAAAAATAATTGGCCGAATTGGTCTAGGCGTTGTTGAGTTATGCGCTTACCAACAGATTTTGCCATTCATTTTTATATTATAGATTTTTACTTTTACAAAAGTACCTAAACTAATTCATTACTTCTTTCTTTAATATTCTTTCTTTCTTATCTATCTGTTGCTAGTTTTCGAAATCAATAATACCTGCATTCGATGTCAACGCAGCTTTCCATGCATAATTTACTTGTATACATAATATGTAGGTATTTGTAAACGAGGATAATAAGTTGTGTAAAGTTAAATTTGGGAATATTGTCATGCAAAGTTTTCAGTTTCGGGCATGGTGTAACCATGTCACAGAGGATCGTGAATGAAATAGATTTAGAAACACACCGAGGCGACACATATTAGGCGCGTTTAGATGTGCTTCATGTGTGTCCCGCGGAGAGAGAAAGTTCAGTGTTCTATCAACCGCACTTACACGCCAACTTGGGAATGACTTAATTGAAATAGTTGACAACATTAAATTGAACAAACCGTCAGCACCGAGAGGCGCCAACCTGAACATTCCCCGGTTGCGTCGCATGCCATATCCACAAAACTCTCTCAGTTCAGAAACATTTTACTGACGCAACGCGTATGGAACAAATTGCAAATAGCATTTATTGTCCGACCAAGTTTTGTCTGTTTTTTTGTGTTCTTAATGAACCACTGAGGCGTTAAAACACTACTGGGAATTGCACTCTGCCGTACGGCATGTGCAACAACTACAACACCTATGCCACGAATTTAACCAATACTATTAGCAAACAACTGTACCTACAACGCATTACGGTCCCAACAAAACGTAAATCAATTGCGCCTATGACTGCTGCTACGGTTACGACTGTCGTACCATCTACGGCTGCGACTGAGTCCACTGCTTCGGGTAGAGTTCGAATATCCACTGCAACAGTAACAACGAAACAGTTTGATACACTGTAAATAGCATTTCATGTTGGATAAAGTTTTGTGTATTTTTCGTTTCGATGGCGCTGTTGCTGAATGCATTCAAACACGATCGGAATCGGAATCGGCGGAGTCGACGAGTGGATTAAAATGCGCACATCGCGAGCGCCGTGCCGTGCACTATTAGCATACGCAGGCTAATGCAGCGCGCGCCCGAGCACGAACAAACAAAATTTCCAATTCAAATCGAATGGCTTTTCAACACCTTCGGCGCGCACAGCGCATACCCATTGCAAATTGCATTTAATTAATGGATGTTGTAATGCGTGCAGTGTATATTATATTACACAGGCCAACCAATTTTTATTGCTCTAATTTCATCCGGCTTGAAAATATCAAAATACTATTTTCTTATTTTCACTTTATGTGTCGACCAGTGTTATAGCTTCCTTTTTGTGTTATTATCCTGAAAATGTTTGATTGTCGAAATATGTTATAGATGCATTAAATTAATTGTAAATTTCTTTCTTTTTTTAAACGCTTCCAAAGTTTAACCTTCGAATAAACTCAAAATTTAATGCAAAATAGTTTCAATTGTGAATAGCATTCATTTATTGTTTTTGTTAAAGTTGATTAAAAGTAAACGTGGTCCTCAGTAGGTACTAACTGCAACTTTAAGGCTGCCCTGGACGATGTTAAATATAATCTTGTCGAACTACTTTTGTGTGTACGTAACTTCATAATCCTGCAGTTCATAAATGCGTTTCATTTTGCGGAAGTTTCGCTCGCGATAATTAACCCATACATAATTTATAATCGACGTCCATGCACTTATAAGTAGCGCTGCATATAATTTGCAAGATTAGGGATAGGCGGATCGTAAACAGCTGATCTTGTTTGTTTAGCCTTGGACGTTCAAGCAGTCAGCCTCGATGCGCTTATAAATATTTATAAACGCACTGCATTATTTGTCCTCCAATTGTATTGTAATTGTGCTCAAGAGTTGTTCGCTTTCGCAACGTCGTACTCCAGCTAGTTAAAATCGCTGGAGAAATATGAAGCCGACACTGAAAAAGACATTTGTAAAAGATTGAATTTAATGCAAAATAAAAGTACTACGAATTGCAATTGTAACGCAAAACGAAATAGTGTAATTGAACGTTTTAAAAACAACTTCAATATTAAAGAATTTGTTGTCTTAAGAATTAAAAAAAGTCCCTATAGCCGTTTATCCAATAATGGGGTAAAAAAGAAAACTTATCGAACCAATGAAAACAATCCATAAATCACGTGTATCAAATTGAATACTTAACATTTCAACGTTTCAATAAGCTCACATTTAAATTTGATGTGATTTTCTCATATTGGAAATCGTGCGAATCAAGACGCAATCGAGATGTTTCAAGGGTGCGTGACATTTAAATGATATTTCCATCGCGGAATGCGATTGCCGCCTGTGATGCGTAAAAGGTATTTGCCGGCGTGATTGATCGCATTTGTCACCTATGAGTGACATTCTTAGATGACACTGGTCGGAGAATCTGCCCTCGCACATCTATGCCACTGCTGATGATGTAACGTAGTTTTTTCAACCGGGTATGAAGCACGTGCAGTGCGCTCAATCGATAACTGTAACACGCACATTTTTGCATCATGTTTTCTCCATGATTCGTGCGACATTAAATTTATCCTTCTTTTCCCAACTACTCAACCAGAGAATTTTCGATATCACTAGCGGGTCCGACAGACGTTGTCAAACCTGAAACTTTAATGAAAAAGATTTACAACACAGAGACAACTATCGAGAGAAACTGAAATTAAAATCTTTATTTGAATATTTGACACTGCGATTGCAGCGCTGTCTGCTGGATTCAATGTAAAACATTTTAAGATCAACCAGTTGTTGTTCAGCTAGTTGCTGTTTGTTATCACAGCCACGTTGTCGCGTGTGACGAAGCACTCACAAATTTATAAATAAACAATTAAAGCAATAAACATTATCCAGTGAACCAAATTGTGAATCTAAACCATTCTCGAACCCACCTGAACACACACAAAAACTTTCATAAATATCGGTTCAGCCGGTTAGGAGGAGTTTATACACATACACACGAACATAAGATGCTTGGTGAGTACTGGAAGTATACAAACCCGTATTAGAATAATGTTAAAAATCATTTTTATAATTTTTAGATAAATTGTGTATAGGTGGCTTTGGATGACATTTGTACCGGTCGAGTATTGTTTTCGACAACTGTCAGTGTCGTACGCTTAAAAAAACAGTAGTAACGAGGGGTTTTTGTACATTATTTTTTATGATTAGATTATTTTACGCGAATAACATGATTGCCTGAGGCGAGATTCCATGTGCGCAAACGACGCCGAACGCGGAAATTAACATAGAGGAAGATCGAACGTAAAACGTGAGTGCCGCGTGTGTTTCTACCCTGGCCGGTCGTAAAAAAATTCACCCGACGCCGCCGCCGTTCGGAAGATGTCTGCGCAGAAAGGGGGACGCAGGATTGTCAACGTCGGCAACTACAGATTCACCGGCAAACGTCTGGGCAAGGGAAACTTTGCGATTGTCGAAGAGGCTGTACACAGCGTTCTCAACATGAAGGTCAGTGAGTAAAACTAGTTTTATTTCTGTATTATGACATTCTAGGTTATAATGTCAATTGGTAGGTTTCGTTCAAACGTAAACAAAACTTTTACCGGTCCTGTGATGTAGAAACATCTTTGTCCTAAGGCTGTATTTTTTATTGACTGGATATTTGTGTGAGTATCCAATAGTTTGCTGGGGAAGGGGAAGATCGATTTGAAGGGGTGTCGATTGGCCTGGCATCTTGTGATGGATATTCGCGGTTTTGCGCACGGATATATGCCGGATGAAATATGAGGCCATTAACAAATTATCTGCGAACACCTCGAAGCTCTCTGCGTGCTCGTCCTCGGGGGAGCTTGTTTCTCGTGGGGGTTACGGTTGTCGTTCAACAAGCGAACAAGCTCGAACATACTCGTGCATGCTTATTTTAAGCGCGTCTTTGCAAGCGCTTACAACCTGGACTAGTGCCGCTCGTCGAGAAAGTGCTAAGGGCTCTTCTGCCCGACGTCGCCCACATACACCAATACACATCTGTATAGCTTCTTCTATATCTACAGTATAATACAAGTAGGGAGTTGTCTGGGCTGGGCTTTAGCTGGCTTAGACGACGTCGTGGTGCTCGCTTCGGCTCTCTAACGTCTATGTATAGGTCAAGATGACCGCAGGGCCATAAATTTTTAACACCGAAAGTCAATTCGATGGTATTGCTTCCTCGTCCGCGTCGTAAATCTTTTAGCGCGTGACATTGCTTTGAACTTGTTGCAATTTATTCGTTTTGCTTCGTAAAATTATATAAGTTTAATTTGTCACCATAAATTTTGCTCTCATCACCCCTCCTTGAGCTTGCACAATGAACGCGACGGCGGTATATAGGACAGACTGAATAATAGCGGTCACGAGATGCGATTTGTATTGCAGATGGCGTTTCTCTTCCACTCGCCGCTACACAAAATTTAATGGCGGCGATAACTTTGGGGATAGTATCGGTTTAGAGAAGATATTCTTTTACCTTGCATTCATGTAGGATTGCAATTGATTTGAATATGATTTCAAGCCTGTTTCCTGTACCAGGAAAGGAAATATTAACATAGTGACAAACTGGTTTTGGTTGAGTTTTCTATTTCCCCATTACTTTCCGAGCGGGCCAACATGGTACCTAATATCCGCTGGACAGCGTGACTCTGTACTCCATTAGATCGTCTCTGAAAGGAATTCGGCGTTATCTGTCATATTGCGCGAGAAGATATTTTCGTACTGGCACACCTCAAAAGGAGTAATCAAGTGTTAAGAGTGTGATCATTCAAGGGATCCTTTTGACTCGTCGGTCTTTTTTGTGATACTTTCTTTCATTTCTCTTTTTAATAATTACCCAGTGCCATTGCACAGATTGAAGCTCAATAGCGTGGCACGACACGTATCTCTGAAGACGCACAGTTAGACCAAATCTTAGCTGAGGCATACAATGCGAAAAATTCCATGCTTTTTATTGCGTTCTAGTCTTATCCGCAGCTCAATGCGCAGCTGGGGTCTCTAACATTTCTACTTTTTTAGATTTTTTTGTTTTTAGAGTATTCTGTTTGAGTTTTTAGCTACTTGCTCCTTGATATGAATTATTTCATATCATTAAAAAGTACAATTACATTTAATAAGAAGTCGATGATTGAATATGAATGTTTGACTCATAATTTTCGTGCTCGTAAGAAAAGCCGCCGTGAGCAACGGTGCGGCAGCAGCCCGCAATATCGATGGAAGATGGAGCGAATAGAAAATCATTGAAAACTTTGTTTGTCGGAAAGCAGATATTCCCTGCTCAGCAGTTGCAGTGGAGCAATCAATGTCTTCATCTGTCGACTCTCTCTTGCTTCTTTTACTCCACTTTGCAAAATTATTTTCCGATACTGATTTGGAAAGTTCGTAACTTTTTGCTCTCTGCCCCCGCGAGCAGCTTAACAAACTTTTGAGTGTCGGACTGCTGGCAGCAGTACAAAAAAAGCTGTTAATGCCTAACAGGAAGGCGCTCAAAAATACACAATATTTATGACGCGCGCGACTGTTGGAATTGGACGTTTCCTAACACTCAAATTAGATTTTCATGTAACACATGCGAATCGTTGGCAAATTGTATCGGGCTGTAGCTCTGTAATTTCCCGATGGACATTACCTTTTATTTCATTCAATTATTGTTATTGCATTTTGTGCTTCAGTCAAATTTCTACATGCGTGATGTGTGTTACATGTTTGTTACAGTAAATGCGAGTTTTGAGGAACAAAAACAATGTATTGTGTTTTTCCTAAGGCTGGAAAATTGTGCTATCCGAGTAGTAATCCGAGAAAAATTTTGCATCTAATTTAATAAAATTTGCAAAATAAATTAATTGCAATATAAGTACTAAATTGTGGGGCATTATTGATTGATCAAAATGCGTTTTACGCCTTTTAAATCTTTGTTACGGTTCAACTAAATAATTTTTGAACTAAATTAGTTTGTTTTCAATAAAAATGTAAACTCTTCATTACATAGCACATATATACACAAATATACTGTAATATAACCTAACATACAAAAACATAACAAAGTTTTGCAACCAGACCATAAACCGTATTCAGGTGATTCTTGTGTGCTTCAAAACCAGCTCCCTAAATATGAAAAACCACTGATTTATTTCATAATGTAAGTGTTTTATAAACAATTTGCAGGATAATATTTTCTGCATGAAATCCTTCGGTGTGTTTTATAGAATTACACCTGAATGTGTAATCGGACGTCTCATGTAATAGTGTGTAACATCAGGCGGCGGCGGTCGCGGCGCTGCTGGTGCTGCGCTATTGGTGCTGCTGCTGGTACTGCGTATTCGCGTTTAATTGAAATGATCGCGGTTTCGTAATTTACGCGCGTACCGCCGTCGCTCCTGGCCTAGAGCACGGTATGTCCGGGCGGCATGCACCTTCGCAATATAATGCGCGTTACGTACCACATATATAAACGCATAGTACGCACAAACACACACATCCTGCCAAACACATAGAACGCAGTCGGCGTGTTGCGAATATTGAACACTTGGCGAACACATGCATCATGATTACACATTACATGGCGCACATAATCGCATATAACTGCCCGGGATATTGATGGGGTGCTTGATATGGGTTCTGTTCGGCTCGCAGCAACAGCAGCGCCGCGTCATGCCGCCCAATATATTGTATATAGTTAATATTATCCGCAGTCATCTTTCGGTTTATATATGTATATATTATGAACGTGGAGCACGCGTTTGCTCGCTCGGTCGCTTTCATGTGTAATATATTTTCCGCCTCTACCTCCACTGCCGTTGTTGCTGGTGCTGTTGCTCTGCTGCTGTTATCGCCTGCCCAGCGAGCGTGCCGAAAATGATTGAACTATCTTTAAACGACTTCGCGCCGCAATTTACACCTCGCTTTTGTGTGTGCGCTATTGTTTACTAAACATGCTCGCAGCCGCCGCCATCGTGGTGAGGATTTGAGGTTTCTCATCAAGTGACTTTTGTCATAAACAAATCCTGACTGGGCAATATTTTGCCGGTATGGGCGCTGCTGCTAGTACGAGTGTTTCCGCTACGCTTTTCAAAGAGCTTTCTCTCTAAACACGCCGCGTGGCGAATCCTTTGTGACCACGTTGGTTTGGCTGGCGGTTTTAGATCTTTTTGTAACCTCTGATGATAGAGTGTTTACAGAACTTTTATTTGACATCGAATTTATTAAAATCCGTGGATGTGGAGCCACTATATGTTAAATATGTTAGTATGAAAACTTTTATGGTTTATCTGAAAAACTAAACATGGAGGAAAAATACGTGAAATCGAATATTATAGAAATTTATCTCCCATAATGTTTATATACAAATCGAAAGTTTTACATTAAATCTCATATCGATCCAAATTCAGAGTCACATAGAAAGCGAAACAATATGAGGAATAAATTCGAATCATTGAAATATTTAAATATTTTGAAACTAACTAAGCAGTTTGTATTTTGTTGTTGGTTGGCGTATCTCTGCTTCTTCAAAGAGCTTTTCCCGCAAACCTAAATTCATGGTGTAATCAGCTCCAAATCCTTTGTGGCCACCGCGGTGTCCTGCTTGCGGTTGTCATCTTGTAGACCCTTTGGAAATTTGAAGCTAAAATAAAGGAAGTGGCTACACACTTCATTAGGCTTAAGTATTATAACGAGCGTAATTATTAAATTAATTAAAATGATGACACGCAGCTTGTGTTTGAACGCAACCAGCAGGGGTGGCTGGAACAGGCGGAAGTTTGCTTCCACCCAAGATTTCAGTTTTCTTTGTCGCTTTGATGGACAAAATAAGATTTGTGCCTTAGCCTTCAACTGCTGCGCATTTAAATTCGTCCAACCATGAAAAAATGAGTGCGTACTTTGGCCTCTTTATCTTTTCGTTTGGTGCCGAGGGTGAAAAGACGCGTAAAAAGAGGCAGCAGATATTTGTGAGTGTCGGGATTTAAAACGTAATATAAAAATGACTTACACGCCAACAAACTAAAAGTGATTGTTTTTTTTTTTGTATTTGCTTTGCAATGTGAGCACCTTATGTAAAGAGTAATTATGTTGGTTAGAATTTATGCGTAGGTTAACTACATTAATCACTTTAGAAGGAGGCATAAAATCGTATTGTCTTAATATAGGAACTACCTGATCCATGATGGAGTATTTGTTCTTCCGTCGTTTTCACTAATGTTTCAATTTGTGTCTGTGTTAACATGTTTGGTTGAGAGTGGAGTGGGCAGTGGCGGTTGGTCTGTATTCCATTACGTTTCGCAACAGCGCCGCATCGTGCGCGGACTTCGATATTGATTTGTATAGTTGGAAAGTTGATGAGGTTGATTTATCATAGCCATCGGCGGACGGGTTCGCTTGTGTTTATTTATATATTTGTGTGTTTGGCCATATTATTGAAGAGATCGCAATATGTTACAACATCGCATGTGTTGCGCTTCCATTCCTAAATGCTTCCGCCGCGTTTG